CTTCCTGAAAGAGAGCGGGAGGTTGCCGCTTGAAACAAACACATGACCCTTCATGAACGGATAAATACTGTGTGCCATGGGTCCGTGGACACGTCTCACCCAGTCATCAACGTGTCTCACAGCTTGGCACTGGCAGGTCTGCCTTGCCTTCGGAAGGCACGCACAGTCATGAATAATTAAGAAGCCGGCTCTTCTCATAGGATAAGAACACTCCGCTATGAATAATAATGAGAAACCGACGCGTCATCTTTGCACTTGCAGTTCTACGCTCCGACGCTGATTTTGATCCACCCCAAAAATCATTTTAAACCCGGAAGCTGAAATTAGCTGACAAAAGCTCAAACTTATCCAGTTTTCCTCACAATTAAAGCTGACAGGTGCTAACATTGTCTTAACTGATGCTCAACACACACACACACACACCTGTTAACATCTCAAGAAAAGTACTCGAGGGCTTCGTAAACCTTTAAAGTTCAGAGATTAAACTTATTTACCTTAGGAGTTTCCCTAAATGAGAGTAAAGGTAAACATTACCATGAAAATCTTAATAGAGGCATGAACACATTAAGGGTGTTTATTTTCTGAAATTCATATTAAAATCTGTTTTATTTATATTGTGTAACGTATATTTGTAAAGTCTTTATGCAGAGTACATATTGTTAAAAGGGGGAAAATAATAAATCGTTGTATGAATGCTGTAATGTTGAAATGATTTTTGGTTTAAGATGCGTGAGTGTCATGTGACTATCAGGAAGAACGCAGCATCTCATTCCTCAGAGGACGCGTTCTCTGTCCTCGCGGTCTCCCGAGTTCGTTCTTCCAAGGTGATCTAGCAAGACGCAAGTTCGTTCTCTGCGTTCTTGGAATTGAGAAACAGACCCTGACTTTTCCAAATCGTGGTATACGTTGAAAATGGTTTTCGCCCCATGCCTAGTATGAAATACTGTTTCCGGGTCCAAGCTGCTACTTATTTGCCACAGCCACATCACCCTGCAGCCCAAGACCGGTTACTCACTGAAGCTAAGCGGGGCTGAGCCTGGTCAGTACCTGGATGGGAGGCCACTAGGGAACACTAGGTTGCTGTTGGAAGTGGTGTTAGTGAGGCCAGCAGGGGGCGCTCAACCTGTGGTCTGTGTGAGTCCTAATGTCCCAGTATAGTGAAGGGGTCACTACACTGTCAGTGGGCGCCGTCTTTTGGATGAAACCGAGGTCCTGACTCTCTGTGGTCATTAAAAATCCCATGGCACTTCTCGTGAAAGAGCAGGGGTGTAACCCCGGTGTCCTGGCCAAAGACCCTCTATCGGCCCTTACGATCATGGCCTCCCAATCATCCCCATCCACCGAATTGGCTCTATCACTGTCTCTCCTCTCCACCAATAGCTGGTGTGTGGTGAGCACACTGGCGCCGTTGTCCTGTGGCTGCCGTCGCATCATCCAAGTGGATGCTGCACACTGGTGGTGGTGTGGAGAGACCCCCTTCATGATTGTGAAGCGCTTTGGGTGTACGGCCATACACAATAAATGCGCTACATAAACACACAATACATTACATTACATTACATTTTTACTCATTATATCTTACATTAGAGTGAATTTTATATAAAATCATGGTGTACACATAACAGTCTCTGGACTTGCTGCATCAATATTTTAACAACTTATAAAAAATTGATCTCTTTTTGACCATCGGATATTAGGCATGGATATATATGTTGCGATCGTGATTTTCGAAAGTATTACATCGCTTTATGAACGTTTATTAATACCATTTGTTGAGTCTTCCCATACAGTTTAACAGAACGATTGGACCTGGAAGCCGCTTCGCGTGACGTCACAATTAAAGGGCCACGAAACCCCCCAGTTTCAGCAGGGTGTTTTCACACTTTTAAATGGAAAAAGTCAGGAAAGTGGGCGTGTCCAGCTCTGTTTATGTGGGAGTGTCGGAGAAGGGAAAGAGGGAAGGTGCATAATAATGGGAGCTTTGGTTTGGACACACGCTGATTTTCACAGAGGAGAAAGACAGTGACTGTGTTTACATGTACATCAGTAATCCAATTATTTGCCAAATTATTAAATGGTGGTCATAAACTGCAGTTTGGCTCTTTCATTCAGGAATTTCATTCATGCCCCTCGTGACAAACAAGATATTTGATTCGAGAAACTGCTGTAAGCGTGTATTTTTAATGTTATGTTTGATACTGACGGCAAATGAGAGAAAAAAAACCCTCCGCATTTCTCTGTAAATTAGATGCACTCGGTAGGTTGTGTCAGAAAGCCATGTGTGTTATTTCTGTCACAAAATGCGGCAAAAATCCTACACGATGGTAATAGTTTGACTGCGGTGTTTACATGTTTACACTCGGAGAGCAGTATTTACAGCCGATCTTTCAGTCCATAATATTGTAGTGATATTAACGTACTGAGGCAAAGCAGTGGCGCAGTAGGTAGTGCTGTCGCCTCACAGAAAGAAGGTCGCTGGTTCGAACCTCGGCTCAGTTGGCATTTCTGTGTGGAGTTTGCATGTTCTCCCTGCCTTCGCGTGGGTTTTCTCCGGGTGCTCCGGTTTCCCCCACAGTCCAATGACATGCAGTACAGGTGAATTGGGTAGGCTAAATTGTCCGTAGTGTATGAGTGTGTGTGTGGATGTTCCCCAGAGATGGGTTGCGGCTGGAAGTGCATCCGCTGCGTAATAACTTTCTGGATAAGTTGGCGGTTCATTCCGCTGTGGCGACCCCGGATTAATAAAGGGACTAAGCCGACAAGAAAATGAATGAATGAATGAATTAACGTACTGTAAACTTTAGTAACTTAGAAAACATTTCACTAAGGTTCGTCTTTAAACACTGAAAGAGTACTGCTGACGATACAAACTAACTTTACCTCTGAATAAACAAACAAAGACCACTGATCGCTCACTTACCACTCACACACTTTGTAGAGACAGGACAATCAGCACCAACTGGAGCCGCATCTTTATTAAAAGGAGACGAGCGGCAAATCGGGATTTCCCCATTTCCAGATGAGAAAAGCTCTCGGGTAAAAAATGTTCCCTGCAAACGTATTTCTGTCACATATCGCGTGCACTGTAATCCACACATGAGTCCAGCTGCGCTCTCATAGCGGGAAAATAAAAACAAAACCTTCATTAAAGCACATTTATAGACACAACACTGAAGACCCGTATCTCCAAACAATTCTTCTTCTCCCAGTTGTTTTGGCAACACAACACGTCGTCTCTCTGCCGTCTGAACACTGTAACTATCATGCATATTAATGAAGTTGCACCACATACACAATAGAGCGCACTGATTGGTTTGAAGCAAGCCTTTCTCATGAATGAATGCAGCACACTCAGAGACGTCACAAAGTACTCCTAGGTACAGATGTCCAGTCTACACCAAGTGTGCCGCAAGCCTGCGTTTAAGGTCTCGGCTGTTAGATCGCCCCCTGGGGGCTGGCTGCAGTACAAGTCATAAAGCCCGCCTCCTCCGTGTTAATGAAGGGCGTGTCATCGTGATTGACAGCGGTGATTGACAGTTTCTCAAAGCAGTGCGTCTGAGCTTCGGCAGAAGACTGAAGTGTTTATTCGATTTCTGTGTTATTTTACCATGATAAAATGAGTTCAGCAGTAAACTATAGTTTCTGACATACATGATCCTGGTGGAACACTGTTTATTCGCTAAGTTCAGGGCTTTTTTCGGGCTTTATTAGTTTGCTGATACACGCCTAGCCACCCAGATAGCAAAACACAGTTCCGGCTAGATTCTCGCCTGCCGGAGACTTACCCCTTAGAGCTCAGACTGACTACCTCTGCTGGACCTACTCCGGATGCCTGGACTCACTGCCCGATTCCAGCCCGAGTCAATCGAGCCAGATGCGGCGGCCGAGCGAGCCGGCGCTGCCGCATGCGAGCCGGAATCAGTCCGCGACGCCGCGAGTAGGTTATGCGCCGTGGCCCGGAGCTGGCGCGATTGAATATATAAAACCCTCATATTTGTTAACGTTATTACATCCATTTGTGTTGATATGACAGCAAACGCATGCTGAGAAGTTCGGGGGGCGTGGTTGATTTTACATAAAGCGTTTGGTTGGAAGCTCGACTCCGCTCATTTTCGCGGCTCCTCCTCTGGCTCCATCAGACAGTCCTTCTGCGCATGTCTGGCTCCAATTTCAGCAGTCTTTTGCGACAGTTTGTGCCCGTCAAGCAGGCGTTTTGCCCTCAAGGCGTTCAATGGGAAAAAGGGCTGTCGCGTCGTCCATATTTTTTACAGTCATTGGTCTACACGCTGAAATACATACAAGTACCTAAGCGGCGTAACGAAGCTTCAAAAATAACGCAAAAACTACCAATTTACACTTTTTAGTGAAATATTTGTGTCCTAATAGTGTTTTTAGCAGCATATATGACTGTCTATGTGTTTTGGGATTTCTTGACCCTTTAACAAGCGGATTTGCGTGTGTTGTGGGAAAATGCCGCTCGTTTTGTTTTATGCGTTTTCATTGTGAGGATTTGCTACACATATTGTAAGAGAACCAACAGTTTTAACCCAAAAATGAGACTCAGGTGAAGAAGAGTCGGTTCAATTAAAAAGAAAGTTCACTAAAGATAGTTTGGAGTCAGCAGAAGCCAGCTTTAACACTCTCGTAGAGTCCAAACACATGCGCTATAGGTCAATTAAATAAAATACATTGGCCGTAGTGTGTGTGTGTGTGTGTGTGTGTGTGTGTGTGTTGTATGAGTGTGCATAGGTGTTTCGCAGTTCTGGGTTGTGGAGCGCATCCGCTGTGTTAAAACATATGCTGGAATAGTTGGTGGTTCATTCCGCTGTGGCGACCTCTGAAATAGAGCCGAAGGAGAATGAATGAATGAATGAATCATATTAAATTCAGTACCCTTTATTGCAGAGATGTTAGGTAGAAGTAACACTGAGCCCGTTCTGCACTGATGCGAATGACATCATTTTGTTTTCTCTCACTGCTCTCCTTCTGGACTCTGTCAGTTCTCTCAGGTGAGTTTGACATTTATCTTGAGCGCAGGATTCAGAAGTTTGTGAATATAAGCTCTTGTTGATGTAGGAAAGGAGCTTTTGCTTTATCTCTCACACACACACACACGCACACACACACACACACGCAAACGATGCATCCCATGAGCTTCACAATCAGCTGAGTCCCACGGTGAGCCCTGCGGATTCATCTGCCACTGCAAACCAGGTCACACACACACACACACACAGACACAAACTCTCAAATACACACACTTTACCATGTACTTACTATAACTCACACAGTTGAAGTCAGAATTACTAGCTCCCCATAGTTTAATGAAGAGATTTCTTCAACACATTTCTAATCATAATAGTTTTAATAACTCATTTCTAATAACTGATTTATTTTAATCTTTGCCATGATGACAGTAAATATATTAGACTAGATATTCTGCAGGATACAAGTATTCAGCTTAAAGTGACATTTAAAGGCTTCACTAGGTTAATTAGGCAAGTCATTGTATAACAGTGGTTTGTTTTGTAGACAATCCAAAACAAATATTGTTTAAGGGGGCTAATAATATCGACCTTAAAATGGCTTTAAAAAAATTAAAAACTGCTTTTATTCTAGCCGAAATAAAACAAATAAGACTTTCTCCAAGAAGAAAAAATATTAGAGAAAATACAGTGAAAATTTCCTGAATCTGTTCAACATCATTTGGGAAATGTTTAAAAAACAAACAAAAATTCACAAGAGGGCAAATCATTTTGACTTCAACTGTTCCTGCGCATGCTGAAATAAAAAAAATGGCCGACTGAAAATAATCCGTAGTCAGTGGTGGAAATCATGCTCAAGTAAGTAAACCATTACTTGCCTAAAAACATGTAGTGCAGGAAGAGTAAACGTATCTGTTGTAAATATTACTCAAAGTATGAGTAAAAAGTAGACCTTTCTAAAGTACTCATGAGTAGTGAGTATTACACTGTGAAAAGTTGATGCATTTACAGGTAATTTGTGGATGTGTGTGTACACGTAACATTCTGTAGTGCGTTTAGTTATTGCTTAGCAGGCACACAACGTCATAAGACTTTACAGTTTTTCTTGTTTGCTTTGACCTGGTTAAAGAAACTAGGTTCCTCTTCATTTTCATTATCACTATCCCAGCAGAGCAGAGGACCGGTCTTGCAAATGTGTAAACCCTTTCTCATTGGGTTGACACATTTTCCCCACCATTTTTCCAAACAGTTAACAGGGATGTCATTCAAGCAGTCCAAACTCCATTGCTTTAGTTTTGGTAACCAAACAGAATCCATCTATTCCTAACCATTAGAAACTACCAACATCAGTATGAAATCACTGAAGCACCGGTTTGACACTCCTTCACACAAATCTTCAATTAGCCATCATTCTGCAAACCTTATATAAAAACGATGAAGGGTCTGTGTTGTTCTGTGCCAGCATTGATGGAGGAGGTCAATATGGCTATGTCCTATACTCCCAATAGATTTGACTGTATATTAGTTTACATGTGTTTTCTCTAATATTTACAGTATTTTATTACTTTTGTCTGTTTTTTTTATATACAGTATTTCAGTTTTCAGCCACAGTTTGAAAAATGTCATGAATTCAATATATATTCAATCAAAGCACATCTTATTCTTGATCCAATTCTTTGAAAAAGGCGAATTTGACAGCCCAAATAGAGACAACAAATGCCATTGGCTATAAGCTACAATGGCAAGCAATGGTGGTGCATTTTGAGTTCTGTATTTTGTATTTTGTTGTCCATTGTGTAATGATTAATTGAAAGAGCTCATATACTTGTTTGCAAGTTGTGTTGTTTGAAGGTGAAACTAGCTTTTGTTGCATATGTTAAATGTTTTGACACGATATGTGCCTTTTGCAAGCAAAATGTGTCATTTTGACCATGAGTGCCGCTGTTTAGGCCTGTGTGTTAACTGTTTTGAAAATGTGGAGTTTCAGTTGACAACTGCATCCAAGCAATCAAGAAAAACTGTAATATTAGGTTAGATTTAGTTTGTGATGTCAGGTTACCAAAATTCAATGTCTATACTGCGTTTAAAGACAATTAGTTTGATGACCAATAATGACATCAAGTGACGTTGATATTTGATCGATTTTAGGTAGGATTTTAGGTAGGAGCTGACATCTTAAACCAACATCATACTGATGTCAAATACTGACTTTAATTCGCCAGGTATGGCAACCAAAATCCAACGTCTGATTGACATCATAGTGGTAACGTCCACACAACGTCAAGCCGTAACAACATTAGACGTTGATATTTGGTTGGTTTTAGGTTGGACATTAAGGTTGGCCTAACGTTGAGTTCTGACGTCAACCCGATTTTCATTTCCAAACATAATGCATTGTCCCTATGACGTTAAGGTACAATGTCAATCTGACGTGTTGACATCTTGTGCCTACTGGGTGTTTAGGGCCATTTCGGTCATCATACAGTAAACATCTGGGTCAATGTGTGTAAAGATTTTGGACATCATCTTGGACAGTTTTAATGCTTCCACGTCTTGAGGTCTTTCATTATGGTGTGATTTTCCTTACCTGTGTGATTTGACTGGACAGGAATCACTGGACTGATTTTTCTAACCCCCATAGACAAGAATATATAAAGTAGTGGCTGCAGGTGCATGGAAAGTAGTGGAGTAAAAGTACAGCTACTGCAGTAAACGTACTCAAGGAAAAGGAAAAGTACACATTTATAAAACTAATTATTAAATAACAATTCCTGAGAAATACTACTCACAGTAATTTGAGTATTTGTAGTTTGTTTCTTTACACCACTGTAAATCGTCACTTATAATGCTGTGAACTGCTGTGAATATGTAAATATGGTGATTTTATCGCTGGCCTATTTGTGGTGGTTCTGCTTATTACGCTGCATTTGTTCACCTTTTGTTACTGCAGGAGAATGAATGTCCTTATTATGCTTTGCAAACTCACCTCCTGAAATCTGGGTCATTCATCAATGGTGCCATTTGTACTAGAAATGTGTGTGTGTGTTTATTTCGTGCAACAAAAAAGGGCAGTACTAATATACTCTTCCATAAACAGTATAAACTGCAGTTTTCAAAATATACATTATTTACTGCAAATGTAAATCACAGGCCACACACACGTGTCTGTGTGTTTATGGTGTATGTTTTTCTTTGCGTGCATGAATATGTCTGTGCATGTGTGTGTTTGCGGCGTATATGTGTTTGTATGTGTGTATATATGTGATATGTCTGTGTGTGTGCATTTGGGGAGCATATGTGTGTATCTTTGTGCACGTGTGTGCATGTATTTGTGTGTGTATCTTTATGCATGTTTGTGTGTGTGTGTATCTTTATGCATGTGTGTGTGTGTGTGTGTGTGTGTTGCAGGACTTGTCTGATGAGCTGCAGTCTCCTCCAGTGATGTGTGTGAACGGGCCGGATGATAAGCTCTTCAGGAGTCAGAGCGCAGACATCACCCTGTCCTCCGAGAAGGAGCGCATTAAGAAGATGCTCTCAGAGGGGTAAGACTCCGACGCTCCAGTCCAAAAACTGCAGGACAACACGTGTGGAACATCCATCTGTCTCGTATAAAAGGCTTCTGAAAGCAGACAACAGTTACCGGCCTCTTCTTGGCCATCTGAGGTGTTAAAGACATTCACTAACAAGTCTTCTGCTTACACAATCTGCAGCACACACTAGTGATGCTCACACAGAACATATCAAGACTTCATTTATGATTACATTACAAGCACATGAAGGGCCGATCACATCCAACTCGCTTTTTGCATTGAGAGGCGCCTTTTTTGAATGATTTACTAAAGGCCGTGAGCGTTTTGCGTGCTGCTTATGCGCCCTGTGCGCCTCGCTTTTTAACCGCCTGCTGCATGTAGCGCATTTGTTGTTGCGCTATGAACTCCTGATGGTAAAGCAAAGACAAACGGCAGAGGATTGCGAGATCAGAGTTGCATTTAAATCAGTAAAGAAAGAAGCACGCGTTGTGTTTTCAACGTGGTTTTGGACACAATATCTGAAATAGTCCATACAGATTTAACCTGAGAGATACAGTACAAGCACTGATCTATAGTAGATATGTGATTCCAAACCACGCGGAGCGATTACAAGCTACAACACACAATTAAACACGCATTTTGCAAACTACAGAAAACGTGGCAACAGTTTTAATTACACTTAGGCCCCGTTTACACTATTGCGTGTTAGTTTTAAAACGCTTAAATTTTGCTACGGTTACGCCATCCGTCCACACTACGCCGGAGTTTTCGAGAGGCTGTTTTCATACTGAAACGCTGCTGCTCCGTCTCAGTGTGGATGAGAAAAAACAGAGGCTGCGTCCGAAACCGCCTACTACTCAGTAGGTACTGCATTGGAATTTAAACGTACTACTCGGCCGTTAGAAAAGTACGTTCTATACAGTATGAATGTGAAAAGTATGAATGGAATTCGGACGTACTACATCCGCCATTTTGGCATTGTCACGTGACCTACCTGCGTCAATTGCGTCGCTTTACTCCCATTCATGAATTCGCTCGCGGGGCATCATGGGATAGCGCAGCATGCATGCGATGCGCACTCAAGAATCTCGCCGGAAGTAGTAAGTCATCCGGTTACTTCTCGCATACTGATTTTCGAATTCTATGAATTCGGACATACTACTCGGCGCGCATACTGAATTTAGCGTGCTGTAAAGTATGGAAGTATGCGGTTTCGGATGCAGCCATAGACATCTTAAAACGGAGGCGGGACTGCTGAGATTCGCTACCTGATTGGGGCTTTTGTGTCATTGCGTATCCTTCCCTTATTCGTCAAGCCTCTATCACATGACTATAACACATGGCTTTAACGCTACCAGAAGACAGCAGACCAGCCTTCACTGTAAACAACAACATGGGCACAGAAATGGAAGCTTTGTTTGCACTTTTGTCTGTTTTAGGCGCCATTGTGCAGTTATTCATTTGTTACGTTTAGTAACAACTCGACCTCGTCGTCTGTCCACAAAAATACCACTCTTGCTTTCTTTGCCATCGCGTTCATTGTTCAACCGGCGTTTGTTGACTAACAATAACCAAATGCCGAGCGCGACGCATGCTTTCTGTTTATACTAGAACACGCATGCCCAGAGTGTGCGAATGGTCTCGTGATATACGTTTTTGGTGGCGTAGTGTGGACGGAGATATGTTCAGAAACGCTAGGTGAAACGCTAATGTGGACGCGGATCGTTTTTGATCTAAAACGCTGTTTTAAAACTAAAACGCACTAGTGTAAACGGCGCCTTACATGTTCTGATCCGGAGGAAGAATAAAACACTTATAGCATCTGGGGGAAGAAGAAACTGCACCGTATAAACTGTGTAAGAGTGTGGCGAGGGGGCGTGGCCGAGAGTAAGGAAGGAGCTCTGGACTATAAGAAGAGGAACGATGGCAAGGCGAGAGAGGACCGGGCCCGTACATATTGTTTTACTTTTGCTTTCAGTTTGACGGCAGTCTCTGTGAGAAGACTGTCCAGGTGCCCTCGCCGCTGAGAGGGGGGCGAGTGTTCGGGAGTTAACCCGAGTGCCGTTCGTCTGCCCAGAGTGCCGGGGCGGCCTGAGGCTGGCGAGGAAAGGATGTGCCTACTGCCGTATCCCAGGATGGGGAGGAGCAGGGGACGCGAGGCTCACCACCGGAAGGGAAAGCGCTGAAGGGAGCCATCCCACAGAACCCAGGGGAGTCGCCGAGTTCCGCCATCATGGCGTAGCCTGCATCCGTCCACCGAAGCGGGAGCGGAGCAGGAGACTAGAGATGCCGCCAGCCAGCCAGGAGAACCGCCGCCGGACACCAGAAGACGGACGGGTGGATAGATTCCTCCACAGGGCTCCCAACACGTCGTCGCATCTCTCAGCGGGTGGAGGACCGAGTGTTAGCGTGTCTGGAGAACCGAACCCCAATTTTTTTTTTCCTCTCTCCACTTTCTCTGTCTACTTTGTCTTTCCTCCTTTTTTTCCATCTCCTTTTCTCTCGGCCCGTTTTGTATAGGTCTCGCGGGTGTGTGGCGCCAAACCCACCGTCTCCATGAGGAGCTGCCGTTCGTTTGTTTTGGTTTAGACGGCAGTCTCCTGCCGTTCATGTTATGAATAAATATTTTAAAACTGTGTCGGTTCTCCGCCTCCTTCCCGGCGGCCAAAGGGCCGTAAACTTCATTACAAAGAGTTACTGACAAAGTCCCATATATTAGTAGTCTTTGCTGATCATTCCGTAATAACTAACAGCCGGCGAATGCCATGTTCAGCATAGGTTATTGTATCAATCATCAGAAAAATGACAGGAACAAACACAACACGTGGTATACTGTGGTACTGTTGTGAAAACAAACGTAAGCCTTTTATTCCCCACAGCCGCATGTCTGGCCATCTCTCAGTGATAGTAATCTTTGCGTCATGATCAACGCACTCCGCTAGTGTCTGAAGGGAAAGGCGTGTTCACGTTTTACCGGATCCAGCACTTCATATTGGGCAATGTCCCATATCGATGTCAACGCATGCAGGCAAAAGATCTGAACAAAGGATCAATTATTCATCTGACTCTGAGTCGACTCGAAAGAAGCAATAGTTTTGAACACGCACTTTTAGATTTACTGCTCAGCTGGATACTCTCATTCACTTAGAGCTGTGATAGACACTGCATGGACGGTCATATTCAAAAACCCATAATAGGGGCTCTTTAATGGCTAAATTAAATCTGTTTTAGAAATACTAGTGAATCTCATGTCTAACACACACGCACGCAAACTGTGCATCTGTGTTTGTGTGTATGTTAGTCATGAGATTCACTTGTGTTTCTGTAAAACAAAGATTTGATTTTGCCATAAAACCTAAAAATAAAAAGTTAAATGTGCTTTAATTCTGGTGTTGGACCATCAGATGACTCTTCGACAACAGTGTTGCAGTGGGGAGCGTCTCAGTAGTTCCTGTAGAAATACCCAGTCTAGATTATTATGATGGAGAACGCCTCTTATTCCTGGAAAGTGTTGATGCACGGTTATTATCTGCAGACTGTACAGCGCTGCTCTGAAAACTGAGGCGTTTCTGACATTACTTGTCAGTCATAATGTGAAAGTCACTGTGATATTGAAGTGCTCTCCTATATTATAATAACTCTGATAACGAATGGTCTTTGATTCCTGGGAAAGCACTTGTTGTCATGGTGATATTGAATTATTATTAGGATTATCAGATTACTACAGAATAAAATGCATGCTGTGATGGAGTTACTGTAATCATTTTTAGTGCATTACCAGTAACCCGAGTTGTGTTTTCAAGTAACTAGTAAGGTACTGCATTTGTAACCCTGAGGAGGGGTTTAGTACAGACAGTTTCTTATTTTAGGACTTTTGAGATGCTTTTTGGTAAATTTAGATTTTTTGCAAGTGTGTATTACAGAAGCTAATCTTAACTTCTATTGGGATTCTCATCCAATCTTAAAGGTTTGAAATTAACCTTTTTTTAAGCATGAAGGCAGGGCAGGACATAGAGTCTCGCTTTAAGAAACAGACTGTAGCTCTAAAAGACTGATAGCCCCACCCTAAAGTACAGATAGCTCCACCCTAAATGCCTGATAGCCCCATCCTGACTGACTGATAGCTTTGCCCTAAATGACTGATAGTCCCACCCTAAAGGACAGATATCTCCACCCTAAATAACCGATAGTCCCGCCCTAATGGACAGATATCTCCACCCTAAATAACTGATAGTCCCGCCCTAATGGACAGATATCTCCACCCTAATAACCGATAGTCCCGCCCTAATGGACAGATATCTCCACCCTAAATAACCGATAGTCCCGCCCTAATGGACAGATATATCCACCCTTAATAACCGATAGTCCCGCCCTAATGGACAGATATCTCCACCCTAAATAACTGATAGTCCCGCCCTAATGGACAGATATCTCCACCCTAAATAACCGATAGTCCCGCCCTAATGGACAGATATCTCCACCCTAAATAACTGATAGTCCCGCCCTAAAGGACAGATATCTCCACCCTAAATAACTGATAGTCCCGCCCTAATGGACAGATATATCCACCCTAAATAACCGATAGTCCCGCCCTAAAGGACAGATATCTCCCCCCTAAATAACCGATAGTCCCGCCCTAATGGACAGATATCTCCACCCTAAATAACCGATCGTCCCACCCTAATGGACCGATATCTCCACCCTAAATAACCGATAGTCCCGCCCTAATGGACAGATATATCCACCCTAAATAACTGATAGTCCCGCCCTAATGGACAGATATATCCACCCAAAATAACCGATAGTCCCGCCCTAAAGGACAGATATCTCCACCCTAAATAACCGATAGTCCCGCCCTAATGGACAGATATATCCACCCTTAATAACCGATAGTCCCGCCCTAATGGACAGATATCTCCACCCTAAATAACCGATAGTCCCGCCCTAATGGACAGATATCTCTACCCTAAATAACCGATAGTCCCGCCCTAATGGACAGATATCTCCACCCTAAATAACTGATAGTCCCGCCCTAAAGGACAGATATCTCCACCCTAAATAACCGATAGTCCCGCCCTAATGGACAGATATATCCACCCTAAATAACCGATAGTCCCGCCCTAAAGGACAGATATCTTCACCCTAAATAACCGATAGTCCCTCCCTAATGGACAGATATCTCCACCCTAAATAACCGATAGTCCTGCCCTAATGGACAGATATCTCCACCCTAAATAACCGATAGTCCCGCCCTAATGGACAGATATCTCCACCCTAAATAACCGATAGTCCCGCCCTAAAGGACAGATATCTCCACCCTAAATAACTGATAGTCCCGCCCTAATGGACAGATATATCCACCCTAAATAACCGATAGTCCCGCCCTAAATAACCGATAGTCCCGCCCTAATGGACAGATATATCCACCCTAAATAACTGATAGTCCCGCCCTAATGGACAGATATATCCACCCAAAATAACCGATAGTCCCGCCCTAAAGGACAGATATCTCCACCCTAAATAACCGATAGTCCCACCCTAATGGACAGATATATCCACCCTTAATAACCGATAGTCCCGCCCTAATGGACAGATATCTCCACCCTAAATAACTGATAGTCCCGCCCTAATGGACAGATATCTCTACCCTAAATAACCGATAGTCCCGCCCTAATGGACAGATATCTCCACCCTAAATAACTGATAGTCCCGCCCTAAAGGACAGATATCTCCACCCTAAATAACCGATAGTCCCGCCCTAATGGACAGATATATCCACCCTAAATAACCGATAGTCCCGCCCTAAAGGACAGATATCTTCACCCTAAATAACCGATAGTCCCTCCCTAATGGACAGATATCTCCACCCTAAATAACCGATAGTCCTGCCCTAATGGACAGATATCACCACCCTAAATAACCGATAGTCCCGCCCTAATGGACAGATATATCCACCCTAAATAACCGATAGTCCCGCCCTAAAGGACAGATATCTTCACCCTAAATAACCGATAGTCCCTCCCTAATGGACAGATATCTCCACCCTAAATAACCGATAGTCCTGCCCTAATGGACAGATATCTCCACCCTAAATAACCGATAGTCCCGCCCTAAGGATAAATAGCTCATGCCTAAATGACAGATATCACCCCCCCATTATGGAGAGGTGTTGCGCACGACAGTGGAAGGGGGGTCGTTGGATGGCAGAGGGGTGTCGCTGATGAAGGACGAAAGTGAGGAGCAGGGGGTTGTCGCAGATGAACGTGAAGAGGATTGGGGAGTCGCTGAAGAAAGTGAAAGTGAACAGCTGACGGGGTAGGAGGGGGGTCGGTAAAATGAGGTGCCGGATCAGACTTAAGGCTGATTTATACTTCTGCGTCAAACGCACGTTTATGCTACGGCATTGTAGCATAGCCCTACGCCGTGGCCGTCGGCGTCGCTGACGTGCACCGCTCAAAAAAATGTAACTACACGTCGCAACGATGCGTAGCGCAAGCTCTGTGATTGGTCGACTTGGTAGCGCTGACGAGTCTGGGCGGGACAGAGAGCTGGTCCGATGGAAAGATTGTTTATAAGTGTGGAGTCCCGTGAAGGAGCTCCGGATGGAAAGTTTTGTTTTGTGTTTACCTCATAGTTAAAGTTGTTGCACGTCCGCCGGTTCCTGCCTCAAAATGAGCGAGTTTGAGCCTCTTGTACATTCAGAAAGTGTTCAGGAAAAGCAAAACAGCAGCGAAGAAACTCGACACAGAGGAACATTTACACCTCACTGCCAACTAGCGTTTCTGAAGTGTTAATGCAGACCAACAGAGACAGCGCGCAGAAGTATAACTGCACAGCTACGCGCGTTGCCTGCGCCGTGAGTTACGCCGGTCACTTGACGCAGATGTATAAACCGTGTGTTCCGGCACATTTTAAGCCCTGGCCCTGCACTAAATAACTGGTAGCCTCACCCTAAATGACTAATAGCTCCGCCCCAAAGGACAGATATCTCCTCCCTAAATGCCTAAAAGCCCCTCTTTAAATGACAGATAGTCCCGTCCTCAATGACGATAGCTCTTCTCTAAATAACTGATAGCCCTGCCCTAAATGACTGACAGCCTCTCCCTAAATGTCTGATAACCCCGCCCTAAATGACTGATAGCTCCACCCTACATGACTGATAAGTCAGCCCTGAATGACTGATAGCCCCGCCCAAAATAATGGATAGCCCCGCCCCAAAATGACCAATAGCCCCGCCCTAAAGAAATGATAGCCCTGCCCTTAATGCCTGATAGTCCCATCCTAAATGAATGATAGCCTCACTCTAAAGCACAGATAGCTCCTCCCTAAAATAATTTCATGTGACCAGAAGTGCTGAAAGTAATTTTTAGGGAAAGGGAAGGTTATGATATTTGATTAAAGTTTATGAGAGCACATGAATTTTTACAATATAATGAAATGCAACCTTTATAACAAGCACAATTTTATACATATACAAAATAAGAAAGTACATTTGGATTTCATGATGGCTTCAAGTGTAAATGTGAGTGTTTGTCTGTGTGTCGCAGGTCGATCTGTGAGATGAATCTGGAGGTGGAGCTCTTTACTTTACAGGACAGTAATGCTAAGTTGGTGGCGGCGCTGCATGAGGCTAACGCTAACGTGGAGCAGTGGAAGAAGCAGCTGGCGGCGTATCAGGAGGAGACCGAGAGATTACGAGACCAGGTCGACACAAAGCACACATAAAATCACACCTGACAGGGACAGAGAGGGGAAAGTGCACAACTAGAGTCAAGACACCAAAAATAATCACAACACAGAAGATGATGCCATTTGCTATTGATAGTTGCTTACAAACTAACAGTTAAAATACTTAAGAAGAAGATACTTACAGAAATGTGAAAAATAAAAAATAACATCTATATCAGGAGTGTCACGGTGGCTCAGTGGTTAGCTGTGGCCAAGAAGGTCGCGGTTTCGAGTCCCGGCTGGGCCAGTTAGCATTTCTGTGTGTTTTGCATGCTCTCCCCGAGTTGGCATAGGTTTCCTCCGGGTGCAGCATTCTGGGTGAGCTGCAACTGTCTTAGACCCGTTTACATTAAGTGAAGTTTATTCATAAACTAATTTCGAGAGGATCACGTGCTTATGATTGACACGGCTGGCCTCGAGTCAAGCTAATGTACGAACCACCAATCAGATGATTCCTAACTCAGTATAAATAACCAAGCATCTTACCTTTAGTCATCCTCGTCTTGAAGAATCCCCCCTTCCACCCCCTCTCCTCCTCTTTTCTCTATAGAGCAGCATGGCGGCCCTTTGGCTAGCATTGTGGCTTCACAGCAATAATGCCTCTGGCTTAGGTCTCTACCTGGCTAGTTAGCATATCTGTGTGGAGTTCATGTTCTCCCTGTGCTCGCATGGGTTTTCCCCGGGTCCTCCGGTTTCATCCCACAGTCCAAAACATGAGACCATGAGAAGTAATTGACTTAACCAAATCAGCACCATAGTCAAATTCCACCAGCAACACACCCTCATAGCAATCCTTAAGCAGCTGGAAGGGTGAGTGGGGTGGGGGTGGGGGGTTCTCGAGATCTTCCTGAGCTCAAACTCCCCTCTCGCCCTGCAAACGAGAGGGAGCCCCGGGCACGAGGATCTCATGAGCTTAGGGCTCTCTCCCAGGACAGCATATCAAACTAGCTTATTACCGATCATCAGCTAAGTGTGAACTCTTGAATAGGTTTTAGTTTTAAACGCATAAGTTTTGCTATGGTTACGCCCTCCATCCAAAACGCTGAAGAGGCTGCTTTCATTCTAAAACGCTGCTGATCTGTGTCAGTGTGGACGGTTAAAACTGTGACATCTGAAAACAGAGGCAGGGCTGCAGATATTCAACATCTGATTGAGGGGTTTTCTCAATATTAATTGCATAAAGTTCAGTCCTACATCCTTTCACTGTAAGTTCTGACTACGCAAGTTTGATATGGAAAACAGACTCCCGAGGACACGTCGGGTACGTCTTCAAAGGGAACAGGGTACTTTATAACTTCATTCGCATCACTCTGGCCATGAGGTTTCAATATCTTAACGTAAATGAATATTTATTTTTATATTAACAACTTAACAGACACCAAAAATGTTGAGGCGTCGTGTGGCTGCATATTTATGTAACCATCATCTACACTGTATGCATATTTATATCAAAACGGAGCCTATAACATCACTGCCTACTTATATTTTCATTGACAAATATGAAACATGCCTTCTCTGTTGCTGAATATCAGATTTAATAATCAATAATGGCCATTATAAAAATACAACTAATAAGTTTATACATTACAGGACATAAAGGCAAACAATCAGTCAATGTGCTGAATCAGTGTACATGGTTACATTAATTAATATATTAACTTATCTTTGCGCTCAGCCAAAACACGTTACCTGAGAACAAGTAATCGATTCAAAAGGCCTGCGCTGCTCTAATCTAGGGTTTTGTGCTCAAAGCACCCGCTGACTGCCTGGAGCTCAGACCTCCACATTAGGGTTGGGCGATGTCGACCAATTTGGCATCCTACGATGTCTAATATGAAACATCAAGATGGACTATGGCATCGTTGTCATAGGTGGCAGTGAATTAATTATAAATAATTAATTAATTAATTCATAACGAATTAATTATTTGTAGCCTACCTGACCCTCATGCTCTTTGTTTTACCCATAAACAAATCATACAGTAAATGAATAAAGGCAAGTTAAACACATAATTACCACCTGTCAATCACTTTTTCAATCAGGTGTGAATAGGCAGAGTGATCTGTGTTGTTATAATGGCGTCGGTAAAAAAGGTGCACAGCCAACAGTATCTGAGGTGTTCGCTAAAATTACTAAGTACAAGTGTGAAAGTGAAAGATTGAAGCAGTCTACTGACCCGCTGACTGCTTGGACCCGCTGTCTCGAGCGCATGACTGTGTGTGTGTGTGAATGTGTGTGTGATTGCGTGATGTGTGTTTCAGCGGTAGTGTGGAAGGACGGCTGCTCAGAAATGCCAAACGCCGGAGTGGATGTGGATCGTCTTTGTTCTAAAATGCCATTTAAAAACTAAGACGTATTATATGTAAACGGGGCCAGAGTGTTTTCGCGAGTGGATTTGCAACGGGGGCAGGGCGGTGGATCGCGATGCTGGCTCAGCATTGTGGTGTCTGTTGGCCATCGGCATTGGACGATGGCATCATCTATCGGCCCAACCCTCTTCCGCATATGCTCCAGCGCTTGCCAGAGTGTATGTGTGGTCATGTAATGTGTGTTTTCAGCGATGTCTTTTCAGAAACACCAGATGAAACACCAATGTGGATGTGGATACTTTTCACTCTAAAATGCCGTTTGAAAACTAAAACCTATTAGTGTAAACAGGGCCTGACTGTCTTTTTGAGAAGGCCAGTGAGGAGTCCATTGCAGTAATCCACCCTGCTGCTGATAAAAGCATGAACATGTTTCCTTCTGGAAGTCCTTACTGGAAACATTCATTCATTCATTTTCTTGTCGGCTTAGTCCCTTCATTAATCCGGGGTCAACACAGCGGAATGAACCACCAACTCATCCAGCAAGTTTTTACACAGCGAATGCCCTTCCAGCCGCAACCCATCTCTGGGAAACATCCACACACACTTTCACACACACACTCATACACTATGTGTCACGACCAGGTTTTGAACCCGGGTCTCTGGTGTGGAAACCGATGTGTATACCACTAAGCCACAGAGGAAGTCGTGTTGGAGCCAAACGAAAACACTCCAAGAGGGAATCCAGAAAACAAGGATTTATTAAAAAAAAATATCAACTTAGGTTCTTCTCAAAAATGAGGTAGCAAAACAGACAACTTAGGTTCTTCTCAGAATGAGGTATACAAAATACTCTAACAGTATAATAAACATGTAAAGAAAACTCCACGAGGGGAGAAAACAAACAGATAATTAATGCAGTCAGCAACAAGGAAAATAAAACACTCTTACTAGACGTAGCTCAGGAGATCAAGGGAAACGCAAGGCAAGTTCACCAGAGATGACTCAAAAACTGAGTGAGGAACACAGACAAAGTGACAACTGAAATACACTGGCTGGAACAAGTCACAGGTGATCTAAATTAAGTAAACAAGAACACATGAGGAAGAACAAATACAGAGGGGAAACACAGGGACCTCTAGGGGAATGGAGACAAACTGCAGGATGGTGACACTATGGCAGTGTTTCCTCTAAGATTTTTTCTAGCTGTGGCGGCAGACTCTTTTGGGCATTTTACACAGATCTACCACTACATGTGGCGTTATTTCATTGACAAATGTCATGGGCGCAGTATTCAGTCGAGATGGCATTCATGTAATAAGCAGGTCGCACACCAGAAGCGTCGCTCAGTGCCGCACCACGGCGCGCACATGAATATCGCACACCATACGCGTACATTCGAATATGATATTTAACATGAAACTAATTAGATGGTGCCCTGTGGTGCGGCTGAAATTTGAACTGCGTCCTGAGTCGTGACTGAGGCGGCGCCGGTGTGTGTATCCTGATAGAAACCTATGTTTAGAATTCTAAAATGCATGGCGCTGCGTGGTGTGCGACCTGCTATAGCCTTCGAGCCTACGATTTCCTCTGTTCGTGCACAAAACTTCTCGCGCGCCCTCAAATATACGCTGTACATTATATATTATGTACATATATATTATGTACAGAGTATGTCTCCAACATTTATTAGATTTGCTTGGAATATATATATATATAGACTTGCGGAGCGGCCCACGGCATTAATGTGTCCTGAAGTAAAGTGAAACGGCTATAAACTCCAGCAAGATAAAGGCATTATATGCTGATCCACAGACCTTTATCTATAAATATAATTATGGAAACTGTGTTCATCATAATAATAATTAATAATAATAATTCCTTACATTTATATAGCGCTTTTCTGGGCACTCAAAGCGCTTTACATAATGGGGGGAATCTCCTTATCCACGACCAGTGTGCAGCATCCACCTGGATGACGCGACGGCAGCCATTTTGCGCCAGACCGCACACCACACACCAGCCGATTGGTGGAGATGAGACAGTGATGAAGCCAATTGAATATGGGGATAGTTAGGAGGCCATGATGGACAGGCCAGTGGGCAGATTTGGCCAGGATGCCAGGGTTAAACCCCTACTCTTTTCGAAGGACATTCTGGGATTTTTAACGACCACAGAGAGTCGGGACCTCGGTTTAACGTCTCATTCGAAAGACGGCGCTCACTGAGCAGTATAGCGACCCCGTCACTATACTGGGGCCTTAGGACCCACACAGACAGCAGGTTGGGCGCCCTTCTGCTGGCCTCATAACTGAAAGCCACGCAGTGTTTGCTGATCTCACGCATCACGGACCTGTCAGTCAGCACGTCACCTTAAAGGGTTAAACTGAACGCACAGCACTACTATGGTCACCAGGGGCGCAACTGCACATTTACTGATGGGTATGCGGCTTCAACTTTTGCGCGCCCCCTTCAATCCAACTATATTTTATAACAGGCAAGTTATAAAATGTGGAAAATATTTCCATCAATAAATTAAAGATATTTTTTCATAAAACAATTACAAAAACTGCTGAAAGTGAAATAAAAAAGACTGTCAAATGTTTAGTGTAAAAAAAAAAAAAACACAGAAACAAACAAATGTTCTACTTAATTGAAATGTTATAACTTTGAAGCTAAAATTAAAATAGTTTTGAGCTAAGAAGTTACCAAAAGGCCTAATGAATCAATATGATACATAATAAATTCATAAAAACATGTATGTGGTATGAAGAAGAGGGGGGGGGTTAAATGATTTTTTATTTAATTTAATAAAATACAATATTACGAGCATATAAATTGCTAAATAAACATTTTTAAAAAAGTATATATATATATAT